CATTCCCACCCACTTTTTTTTTTTGGCCAGGGCCGGGGTTTGAACCTGTCACCTCTGGTATATGGGGCTGGTGCCCTACTCCTTGAGCCACAGGCACTGCCCTTAATGGCAAAACTGGTTCTTTTCTTTCTTTTTTTTTTTTTAGACAAAAGTCTCAAGCTATCGCTCTGGGTAGAGTGCTGTGACATCACAGCTCACAGCAACCTCCAACTCCTGGGCTCAAGCGAAATAATCCTGCCTCTGCCTCCGAAGTAGCTGGGACTACAGGCACCTGCCACAACACCTGACTATTTTTGGTTGCAGCAGTCGTTTGGCAGGCCCGGGGTTGGATTCAAACCTACCAGCTTAGGTGTATGTGGCTGGCGCCTTAGCTCCTTGAGCTACAGGGCGCCAAGCCTCCTACTCACCTTTTTTTTTTTTTTTTTTTTGCAGTCTTTGCCCCAGACTGGGTTTGAACTCACTACCTCAGGCATCTGAGGTTGGTGCCCTACTCCTTTGAGCCACAGGCGCCACCCCATCCCACCCACTTCTGTCCTAGTTTTAACCTGGTCTCCCAGTGCAGGCCCCACAAAGGCTACATTCTATTGGTTTATAAAATTGTATGTAAGTTGTAATAATCTATTAAATCACCTGCAGTGTGAGTTTTTCATTAAACGTTTTTTTGAGACAGAGTCTCACTTTGTCACCTTTCAGTAGAATGCCATGGCATTGTAGCTCACAGCAATCTCAAACTCTTGGGCTCAAGTGATCTTCTTGCCTCAGCCTCCTAAGTAGCTGAGACTACAGATGCCCACCACAATGTCCTGCTATTTTTAGAGACGGGTTCTTGCTCTTGCACAAGTTTATCTCCAACTCCTGAGCTCAAGGAATCCACTCTGCCTCAGCCTCTGAGAGTGATAGGATTATAGGTATGTGCCACTGCGCCAGGCCTGTGGTTTTCTTTTTTTTTGAGACTGAGTCTCACTTTGTCACCCTGGGTAGAGTGCTGTGGAAATGTGGTTCACAGCAACCTCAAACTCTTGGGCTCAAGAGATTCTCTTGCCTCAGCCTCCCCCGTAGTTGAGACTGCCACAAAGCCAGCTAAGTTTTCTATTTATTTTTAGTAGAGACAGGGTCCTCAAACTCCTGACCTCAAAGGATCCTCCTGCCTCAGCTTTCCAGAGTGCTGGGATCACAGGTTTGAGCTACCTGCTGGGCTTTGATAGTTTTTTTTTTTAGAGACAGACTCTCACTTTGTCCAACCCCCAGCTCTTGGGCTTAGGCGATTCTCTTGCCTTAGCCTCTCAAGTAGCTGGTACTACAGGCGCCTGCCAAAACCCATGGCTGCCACCCTCAGTATATGGGGCCAGCGCCCTACCCACTGAGCCACAGGCGCCACCCATGATACAGTTTTTTTAAAATCAGGCCATGCAGGCAGTGCCCATGCTCAGTGGTTAGGGTGCCAGCCACATACACCAAAGCTGGCAGGTTGGAACCCAGCCTGGGCCAGCTAGAAAGCAATAATGACAATTGCAACAGAAAAACAGCACTGTGGTGGGCGCCTGTAGTCCTAGCTACTTGGGAGGCTGAGGCAGGAGAATCCTTAAGCCCAAGAGTTTCCTGTGAGCTGTGACACCATGGCACTAGTTCAGGGTGACAGCTTAAGACTCTGTTTCAAAAAAAAAAAAGGGCCAGGCATGGTGGCTTAGGCTTGTGATCCCAGCATTTTGGGAGGCAGAGGCAGGAGGATGGTTTAAGCCCGGGTGATGAAGCTCCTGCACTCCAGCCTGGGCAACAAAGTGAGTCCCTATCTTGGAAAAAAAAATCCATGTGGCTCTTGGCCTGGTTGTTCATCCTAACTGCTGTACAGAACATGCTCATGAACTAATCATAATTGGCCCTGGTCTCCTCAAGATCACACACCTTTTTAGGTTTTCACTGTGGAAAACAAAGCTGCTGCAGGATAGGACTGCTGAGGCGCTGGGGGCCCCCAACTCCCCTGCAAAGGGAACTCCTGTCTTCTCACCATCCCCTCCTCACCTCTTGCTGGCTTTAGCGATGTCGGATGTTTTTTGTTTGGTCATTGAATTTTCTTAGGTAGAGAGAGGGTTTATTATTTTCAGTGTTTTATTTATGGGATTCTTCTCCAGGACACCAAGCATGGACGATGGTGGTGGTGGCGGCGGCAGAGCCTCTGCCAGTGGGGGTCGCCGCCCACACCTAGGCACCCCAGAACTGTACACCCCCACACCCCCACCCCGCCTCCCGCATGCGTGTGTCCGCGCACTCCATACCGCTCCTTGCCTAGCTTCCGGAGGGTCTCGGTGGCCTCCCCGACCTTTGCGTGGGCGGGGCCGGCGGGGCGGTCCTTGAGCAGGTAGGCACCGGGCCGGATGGCGCGAATAGTACGACACCCAGAGGCACCGAGAGGCTTTCCGTCGGCGGAAGGTGGGACCAAGCCGCCCCTCAGTCCCCAGCCTGCAGCCTGGGACCCAGGATCCTGTATCTGGCATCACCGAGGCAGTGCTCGAGAACGCTGCACGTGGATCAAAGCCTCAGAGGAAACGGCCGCCGGACCCGCATCCCGTGTCAGATGTGCCCGGCCCATGTCTGCACCCCAGAGTCACCACCCAAAGAGATTTATTTCCGGAAGCTAGGGGGGCCCCCAGCACAGGGCCCACGCTGGCACGTCCTTTTGCTCAGTGAACCATGGTGGCCACTGTCTTCCTTCGCGAGGACAGGCACGGAAAGGACCGCAGGCAGGACCTGGGGAACCCATACTGCCTGGGTTGCGGGCCAGGGGGTGGGGTCCACGGGACGCGCGTAGGCCTCCAGATTTATTGGAGAAGTGTGCGGGGCCAGCAGCCGCCAGCTGTCCCTGCTGTCACCACCCCGCGCAGGTAGTGTGCATGAGCCGAACCATAGCCTGATCTTCAACGGAATGCCAGCTCTGTGGTGCTAGCAACAGGGCCAGCTGGCAGCTCCTGGCCCGAAGGACCCATCTCTGTGGGAGGAGGCTGTTCTCAGCCCTCCCAGGCGTCCACTCTAGGTCTAGAGACCCACTTGCTTCTCCTGCAGAGGGGACCCCTCCTCCATCTCTACCCCTAAAAAAGGCCTTCTGCATGGCTCCCTAGTTCAGCTGTGGATTCCCCAGAGCTCTGGCGGCTCCCTGGCCCAGCAACCAGAATCCTAAGCCCCTACTTGGGAACATGTTCATGAACTAATCATAAGCACCTGCCACCGCGCTGGGGTTCAGAGCCTCAGCTAGCCCAGTTGGACACATTCAGGGCTCTGCTCTGCATACACTCTGGAGGGTGAGAAGAGGGACTGTGAAAGGTAGGAGCTGGTGCCAGGGCGGGCCTTGGCCTCTAGCTGTGGTACATGGGACCCATGCCACTTGTGGCAGCCCCAGTGGATGTCACAGCTGAAGTTGCCATCACACCCAACCCTGTCCCTTCCTGGCCATCATCCTCCATCAGACCCTGTATGTATGCCACCCTCCTTCCAACCCAAGGGCATCCAAGTCTCCACTCCAGTGCCTTTGCACTGCAGCCCCTCCCGCACACCTGCTTCCCCACTTCTCTGCTTGACTTTGGAGAGCCTGAAAATCCCCTAACTTTGGGGTCTTCTGGCTGTGTGGTGCCTCCCACCCAGTGGAGGAAACTGTCTAGCTCTGCTAGTGTTTCCCCCTGAATGCCCTTTTCCCAGGACTCATCCTGGAGCATGTGGATCTATAGGAGGCTGGGGCCCAGGAGTCCAGGCACATTTGCCACATTCTTTCTGACCCCAGGTGGCCTACCTCAGAATCCCAGATCCTGGCTGCAGCATGCATGTATGTCAATGTCAGTGTGACAGCCACATTGCCTTGTGCTAAGGCTAGACCCTGTCCTTTGGCATAGGGCACTACAGGCTTCCATCCCACCAAGTCAGGGTACCTGTCACTCTTGTGAGTCCGTGGGGAAGGGGCGGTACCTCATGGGCTGACGAACCTGAGATTGACCCTAGAGACTCACCATTCTCAGGTTGGACAGTCCTGGAGGAACTGCCCAGGACAACTGGTAACCTGGGGCAAGCAGCCTTCTCCTTGGGGACCCTCACCCCAAATGTCACAGCTTTGGGTCTAGGACACCCCACTCCCTCCTGGGCTCTGAAGAGTACCTCTGGGATGGGGCCCCATGTCCTACTCTTCTCAGCCTCTCTGACAGGGGCCTGCCCACTCACCCCTAAGCCTCTGCCAGGTCCAGAGGAGCCCCTGGCAGCCAGGGCAGCACTAGGACTGTCTGGCTCTTGGAGACAGACTCATCCCTCCCTGGAGAGCATGACCTAAGTCTCAGCCCCAAGCCCCTCCCCCCACTACAAGCCCCCAGTGTCTCCTGCAGCTGTGGTGAGGGTTTGTTCTCATAAAGGTCTTGGACCTTAGACCCTGGTCCAGAAAGTTCCCAGGGGCCAGAGGAGTTGCTCTTTCCCCCAGGGCAATCTGGAAGGTGGCCCACCTCTGACACCTCACAGGGCCCTGGCCGGAAGTGGGTCGAGAACTCCCCTAAACTGTCATTTTTGCCTTACCAGGCCCTGAGCTGCTCTCCAATAAGGAGACCCCAGCTTGAGGCCTGCCAGCAGCACAACAGCCACTATTATGGATGGGGGTCTGAGGCAAGGCTTCTAGGTGCAGACCTCCACAGACCCTCAGCAAGAGGAAGGAAGCTGCCTTTCCCTCAGGACTCTGGTGGCTAATCGAGAGTGGGGGCAGCTGGACCCACTCCTCCCAGCATGGGGCTGCATCGTGCGTGCATGTACATGTGTGTGGACAAAGCTTTGCGTTGCCATGAGTATGGGGAGGGGGGCGGGGTGGTATCACTTTCTGGAAGCCAATTGGCCCCTGATTGGACTTCGTTGGGGCCTCCCAGGAGTGACCTGGCCCCTGCCAGCTCCTCACTAACCATGTCCACCATGCCTCTTCTGGGAAGACCTGGATAAAAAGAAGCCATGCTCAAGGCAAGGCCAGGCTGCTATAGCCTGCAGGTTCCCAGCACAGGGCAAAAGTTTGGGTGAGTAAGGAAGAAGGCCTGGAGACATGGGAGAGGGGTCTACTCACCATGGGGTGGGAAGACCTTCCTGTTGATCTCTGAGCCCTACATTGGTCCTCTGTTCCTGGTGGTGGCCGACTGCTTGCCTCTTGGACAAGCCTCCAGTCTTTATCTGCTTGCCTTTGGCCTGGCCTCCACCCAGTGACTTCCTGTCCCCGCCCTCCCAGGTTTTCCATGACAAGGGCTTTTGGGGCCTTTTGGGGGATGGGAGGAGTGGGGAAGAGACCAGGGAAGCAGGAAGGAGGCAAGTGCCAGCCTTAGAGGGTCAGAGGAGCCTGCCTCAGGACCCCAGCCCACCTGCCACAGCTGGGATCACAGCCCATGTGGGTGGTGGGTGTCATGTGCGTGTATGCATCACAGACACCTCACCCAGGGAGGCTGTCCGTGCGGGGGACATTTGGAGGTGGCCAAGAAAGCCTATCCCCATGCTGAGTCCTAGACCAGGTAAGGCAGGGCTGGATGAGAACATCTGGTCTTCAACAGCATGGCCAATCCACTGAGGCACTGGCCAACTCCCTGCAGCTGGGGCCTCCCTCCCACAGCGACCCACACACCACTTTCTGCTGGGTCTCTTCCTTGACAGTACAAATGTGGATGGCAGGAGCAGCCACAGGGTGGGCTGCCTCTTGTGTGTCCTAGGTATCCTGTCCCCTCTCAGTTCTAGGCATGGTAGCCACTAAACTGTGTGGATCTAGGGCCCATCTGGCAGGGGTAGGAGCTGCAGGCCCCAGTCTTGGCTCACCTTCGTCTGGCACAAGAGCAAGACTGGGGATGCTCTCAGCGCTCTCTCCATGGTGGCCTTATGGCTCCCAGCTTCCACATCCTTGGGGAACTTCTACAAGCCACATTTGGCTAGGATGCCACTCCTGTGCCATAACCAACCAGTCATACCTCTATTTTCCTAAAGCTTTATTTTATAAAACGTATAGAATAAGTTATATTGATAACATTTTAAAAATTTTAAGTTATGCCTTTGTATACTGCAAGCCAGGCCAGGAAGCAGCAGGTTGGTGGCATCTGGGTGGCTTAGCCTGGGCAGTTAACCTGTGGAGGCCACTTCTTCCTCATCACTGCCATCAGGAACTGCATCTGTCCCAAAGTAGCGGTCACCAAAATTCCCTGGAGAAAGATAGCATGGTAGGGCCTCCTAGGGCCACCTCTACCCCATTGCTGGTAAAGAGGCCCAGGCAGTCTTACCTATGCCTGGAATGATCCGGAAAAGATCATTGACTCGCTTGTCTACAGCGGTGGTGATGATCTTTACACGTGGGAACGCATAAGCCACTGAGTGCACGCCCATCTCTGCCATGAGGAGTGACAGCAGGAAGATCTTGTCCTCAGGCACATCATGGTCCTGCCAAGCATAGGGGGCAGGTGAATCCCAGATCCATGGCAGGACCTGCCTGCAGCCTACCAGAGCCCACTCACCAGGAGCACGCGCACAGCCATCATGGCTGCAGCGCCTGTGGATACCGTGCAGTCCATCAGGATCACGTGGTCATCGCTGATATCCTTGGGCAGCCGAAGGTAGTGAAGCTGCAGGCAAGAGGCTGGTTTCAGGACCACATGCCAAGCGCCCCTCCCCAACCCCTCCCTGTAAGCTGATTCTGACTCTCCCCTGACCTAGCCCCAGGCCTGCCCAATTCTGCACCTCAGGTTCCCCAGTGAGCTGGTTGGTCTGGATCAGGATGGTGCCGATGCGCACGTCCTTGCATACCGCGCGCAGGGCAGGCTCCATAGTCTCACCGGCACGCAGGATTGAGACTCCGGTGATCTGGAGGGAGGGGCAGAGTGAACCCTTGTCCCACCTCCAGTGTCCCAGCCCCCCCCCCCAGCAAGTACCTGCTTTCCAGCATAGCACTTGCCAGCGTAGTCCTGCCCCTGCGGGGTCTGTACGACACACTCCTGCATGGGCCATAGGGCACTGTGAATGCAGGGAACCCCCAGCCCTACTTGCCCAACGTCCCCATCCCACATGCTGCACACCTGGAAGGGCAGGAAGGAGAGTGCGTGCTCAATAAGCAGCCGCATCAGCCTCTTGGAGTAGAAGATGAATTCATCACGGCTGGTCTCCTTGTCCCTGTGGGGCCAGTGGTTTAGCAGGGAGTGGGCCTGCTGGGGCACCCCCTCCTGGGGGTGGGTGCTCACCTGATGATAGTGTGCATGCCCCGTACCTGCGGCGTGCTCTTGAGTACACTCAGTGTCTGAGGCAGGGGATGGCACTGGTGCGCTGAGGCCAGTGCAGCCCTGGGGACATAAGGCAATTGAGGACACTCAGAAGGGCGATCTTCTTTCACAACTCCTTCCCTGGCAGCTATGCATCACTGTGAAGGCACATCTGTGGGAGTACCTTGGGGTGTGCGGGGTGGAGCCTGACTGCCTTCCTCAGGCTGATCTGGGGGCAATGTCCCCCCCTTAACTGCCAGGGGAAAGTTAAAGGGCACAGCAGAAGGCAGAACAACTGACCATCAGGCAGAAAGCTAGGGGGTTGGGCTATAAGGCATCCCTTTCCAGTCCAGGACCCTCCTGGGCCCAGACAAAGCAAAAAGGGACCAAGCACAGGAGGGCTCACATGTGTAGACATATCTTAGCCACTGGAAGGGGCACTCATCCCTAGCCTCTTCCTGGGGGAACAATTACACTTTGGGCTCAAGCCCTGCCCTTCTGCATCCTCCAAGTAGTATGTGGCCCCTTCTCAGGAGAGGAGGGCAAAGCTGGCTGAGTGTTGCCTGACTGCTTCCCGCTGCAGCCCCAGGCCTGCAGTGTGGGAAGAGGGGCAGGATCAGGAAGAAGGGCAGGTGCAGGTGTTGGGGTGGTGCCAGAATAGGAGCAGGTGCAGGGCAGCGGCCAGGAGGGACAGGCCAGTACACAAGGAGGGAGCAGGTGTGTCGGTGGGAGATGGAATGGGTGCACTGGCAGAGGGTGAATGCACAGGGTAGGGGGCAGGTGCAGGAGGGGTAGCCAGCAGGAGTAGCCACACAGCACTACAATCAGAGCGCACTCTGCTCACATATCCCAACGCAGCTTCCTCTGTTCACAGGTGAAGAGAATGTTCAGGGAGGGAACAAGGCAGGAGACGGGGTTTATACAGAAAAGGAAGAGAACAAAGAGAAGACCACTTAGTTGGGGGAACAGGGACAGTCCCCACAGAAGTTAACAGCTCAGCCAGTTCGGGCTACAGTGGCCTGAGGAAGAGAAGGTCAGCAGCAAGGCCCCAGCCTCTGCTCCCCTGGGCAGCACCCAGCACACCCAGGCTGAGGCCCTCCCTGATGCCACCAGCACTTCCTGGGCTGAAGGAGGCATGTAGGGTTGCTGGCCACCACTTCCTTGGCTGACCAGAGAATGGAAAATGTAGCTGGTGGTATTCAGGCATTTTCTCAAGTTGAAACCCCGGAAACTTTTTTTTTTTCTGAGAACAAAGAGTTCAAGAGGAACCTGCTGTGACAAGCCCTGTGAGTCTTGGTAAGGGCCAAGCAGAGCATCAGAGCCTCATGCAGGACAGGAGAAGTGGGGGCAGCTGGTAGGCGGGCCCTGGAGGCATTTCCAACTCACATGAACTGTTAGGGGCACCCAGGGCAAATATAAAGGCTCTACTGTCAGGTGGTGCAGCCACAAGCCTCCCACCTCCACAAAGTGCTGGGGAGAAGGACAGGTGGCTAGTCACCCAGGACAGAAGCTCTCTCCCTGCCTGTCTGCTCTCTTAGTGGAGTGACAGGAGGCAGCCCAGTCCTGTCACCCCAACTCAACCAAAGCTTCCTGCCACAGCACCAATACTGCACTTCTGGCCCTGAGTTGCACTGAGCTCAAAGACAACAAAGCTGGTCAAGAGGACTGCAGGTCAGGCCCTCACCATCCACACAGTCGACTGGCACTATGGACTGGTCAGAATGGCTGTGATAGGCACCCTATGTCTGTAGGTCAGGTCTGTGGTACTGGCACTGCTCTGCCAGCCTGGCAGTGCTAGCTCAGGAGAACAGCTATGTTCTCTGGAGCAAAACCCAGATGGCCCAGGTGTGGAGTTGCCAGCAAGGTCCATACAGGCTGGAGTCAAGATACTGTGCCTCAGTGTCCTCATTTGCCAGGAAGGAGAGGCAGAAGCAGGGTAGGACTGTTCCACACCATCCCTTGTGTGTCTAGGGAAGGGCTGCCCGCCTGCCCAGGTCATAGCCCAGACCCATGTGGATGTTGGAAATGCCTCCATCTGTGCAGATAGCCATGTGAGTCTTACCTGACGCTGAGTTCACGCTGCAGCAGCAACACAGGGAGACACAAGGGAATGGTGATGTGTCAGTGACCAGGGCAGGTGGGCAGGCCAACCCCACCCAGGAATGAATAGGCTGCAGCCCAGTGGGAACATGGCCAGCCATGGAGGTGGTGAGCTTCTAATGGCCCTAACCTAGGGCCTGGGGCAGTCAGAGCCTGGGCTCCTGGGCTCTGTACTGCAGGCCTCAGGCCTCTGGCAGCCTGGTAGGGAGTATACCCAGAGCCCACTAGGATTCAGGGGCCCCACCACAGAAAGCCCCAGGGCACACAGGAAATCAATGAGGGCATCACACCTTGTGTGATCTACTGGGAAAGAGAGGAGCCCCTGGTTCCACATGGTACTCAGTGTGAGACTCCCACAGTCCTAGTCCCTCTCACTATCCTAGAGACCAGGTGCTAGGCCCAAGCACTGTGCTGCCCCTTCTTCCTCAGGGAACCCAGGGCCCGGCTCAGCCTGTGCTGGGGCAGAACTTAAGCCCTAGGGCCAGCACAAAGGATGGGGGGCAGGAGGCATGATATCAGGCTGACCAAGTAAGCACAGGGCACTCAGGCCTGGCACCCTGCCAGAAATTGTGAACACACAGTGGCTGGCTGAGCAGGCTGCTGTGGGCAGTGGCAACAGAGAAGCAGGGGCAGGACTGGGAGGGCTGCAGGGACTTAAAGCCCCAGCCTGAACACTCACCTCCTCCAGCTGGCTATGCACATGCTGAACAATCAGGTCGATAGCCACGGTGTTGCCGCTCCCTGGGCCAGGACAGGGAGGTGGGTGATGGGGCTGGGCCCCACCTGCTACCCACCCACCATAGGTGCCCGCGGGCTCACCTCTGGGCACCACAATGTCAGCCAGGCGCATGGTGGGCTGGATGTACTGATCAAAGGCAGGCTTGACAAACTTGTTGTACTGCTTGATGACGCCTTCAATGTCCCGGCCCCGTTCACTGATGTCACGGCGCAGCCGCCGCACCAAGCGGATATCAGAGTCTGTGTCCACAAAGATCTTCATGTCTAGGAGCTGGAGGGGGATGGTGAGCCTGTGGTGGAAGCTGTTGCCAGCACAGCCAGTATGAAGGCAGCAGGACCAGTTCCCACAAGTCCAGGGTGTCTGGGGCCACCTGCCCATGGGGCACCTTCCAGGCCTGGCTAGGGTAGAGTGTGTGGGGCGTGTGTTCGCAGCAGAGTGCTGTCTGCCAGGTTAGGCAGAAATGGGCTAGGCACGCGTGTGCTCCATGAAGCGTCCACAAACACATTGGGAAATATGGGGCCTGGCGAGTTCAAGGTCTGACCTAATACTCAGCACATAGCAGGTGGTGCCTGAAGTGGCCACATAGGGGAATGGGGACTGGGCACTGCTATGTGTGGGGCAGTTGCTCTGAGCCTGTGCCAGGGGCAGAACTTGAGCCCTAGGGCCAGGCAGACCTTGGTCAAACTCAGCTCTGCCCTTGGAGGCCCATGCAACCAAAAGCAAAGTCTGGCTTGGCACCTATGGTACAGTGGTTATGATGCCAGCCACATACACCAAGGGTGGTAGGTTCAAACCCAGCCCAGGCCAGCTAAACAACAATGACAACTGCAACAAAAAATAGCTGGGCTTTGTGGTGGGTGCCTGTAGTCCCAGCTACTTGGGAGGCTGAGGCAAGAGAATTGCTTAAGCCCAAGAGTTTGAGGTTGCTGTGAGCTGTCACGCCACAGCACTCTACCAAGGGTGACATAGTGAGATTCTGTTTCCAAAAAAAAAAAAAAAAAAAGCAAAGTCCCTTAAACTCACTGGCCTTGAGGTCTCTTGTGTCCCCCAGGACCATAAGGAATAAGACCAACAAGAAAATGCCAAGTGTAAGCACAGGCAGGGTGGGAGCCTCTGCCCCAGCAGGCATACTCCACCATGCACAGCACCCCAGGGCCTCCCAGGGGTGAGGAGTGGCCAGCAGCACAGGGATAGGACAGGTGAATGTGCATCTCCAGGATGGGGTAGAGCAGGTGATTATACACCTGGAGGACAGGGAGGCTGGAGTCTCCCTGAGGAGATGCACTTAAGGTGAGTCATGGCAGAAACAGGGATACCAGGGGTGGGATACCCTTTACCTCCAGCAGTGTCTTGTCAGCAAAGGCCATGATTCCCTCAAAGATGATGACGTTCGCACCATACAGTGTCTTCTGCAAAGGAACCCACAAGTTGCCAGCGCCCAGCTTATGCATGCATAGCCCCTTTGCCGTCCTGAGCCCCCGGCCTACCCAGTCTTTTTTCCGGCTGTGCGTGGTGAAGTCGTAGATGGGCACCTTGACGCTTTTCCCCTGCTTCAGCTTCTTCAAGGTAGAGATGATGAGGTCAAAGTCAAAGGCGTCTGGGTGGTCAAAATTGAAGTTGTTGCGGGCGGCTTGCTCCTGCTGCTGCTTGGTCAGCACCTGTCAGGGAAGGCTGCCGAGGAGCTGGGGGCACAGTTGGGCCCCACGCAAGGCCAGTGGATGGGCAGGTATGGACATATGAGGCCCACAGGCCAGAAGCCTGCACCTGTAGGGATGCTCTGGGAAGCAGGCAGGGCCTCACCTTATAGAAGGAGTCCATGGACAGCAAGACCACCCAGGGCACATCCAGGGCCTCAATGATCATTCTGGCCACGGTGGTCTTCCCAGAGGCACTGCCACCTCCCAAACCTACAGGGAGGAGCAGAGATCCCCTGAGCAGCAGCAGGGCTGGCTACTGGGGCAGCTGAGGGCCCCACCCATACAAGGACGGATGGCTGAGTCCTCTCTGGGAAACCCAGGCACTGGGCACCCTCCATGCTCACCAATGGCAAAGGCCTCCTTGGACTGCGTGCCGTGCTCGTTGTACCAGGGTGGCCGCCCCGCTGTGTAGATGGTGCGCTTGCGTGTACGCAGCAGGGGCGGCTCCGACTTGCATTGGCTGGTGGTGCGCTTGCGTGGCGACCGCCCAGCACCCACGGGTGGGAGGAGTCTGTCCAGGCGCTCTGCATTGCTGCTGCAGAGAAGGACATGCTCGGCCTTGGCTCAGGCTACCAGCCTCCCTGGTCCCTGTGCCCAGCCATGGAGCAGTGCCCCACAGGCACAGCTGAGGCAAGCAGGCTCAACTGGGAGTGCACTAGAAACTGCCTGCAGCTGGTCCAAAGACCCGAGGGCTGGGGCCCACTGGAGGGACAGCCCCATGTTGCTTGGCCTGGGCACAGGACCTTGGACCATCCCTGTCCAGACACTAAACAATGACAGGGAATGGGAGGAGACATGCCATCTCAGGGCCATGCTTATCCCTCTGTGTGGGCTGGGCTGGCCTGGGCTATGCCGGCCCTGTCCCCAGGGGAACTTGGGGTGGCTGTGTGACAAGCAGGCAAGACCCTGTAGAGGACCATGCCCCCTCCCCAACCCTGGACTCTCTGTGACAGCCTAGTCACTGCTGTCCTGAAGGGCACAGCCAGACCAGGCTGTGTGTGCACAGGTGAGGCCCACACATAGGAGACCGAGTGCCTCAAGGACAGGGAGGGTGCGAGGTTCAGTTAGGACCTGCACCTGCCAGTGACAGGAGGGTTAGGGGCAGGGTAGCCCTGGGGGCTGGCCTCTCTGGCCATCAGAGTATAGGACAAGGGATCTTGGGCTCAAAGACTTAAGGGGAATCCACTCATTTTTACTGTGGTCACCCCTGGGTCCAGCATCTTGCAAAAACCTATCTGATGGGGGTTGGGGAATGAGGAGGGAAAGAGGAAGCCCCTGAAGGCTACAGGGATTTCCCCAGAGGAAATCCAGCGTGAGGGAAGCACAGAAGTATTTGTGTCACACCCACAGAATCACTCACACTGAGCTGGCATTGACACCCACACAATCATGCTGAGCTGACACTCAGGTCTTAGGTAACTTCTCAGTTCATTTACATCCCCAAAGCCCAGGAGGCTTAGATGCTGTGGGGACAGGACACAGGCTAGGTAGAAGGCACTCTGTCCCCTGCCTGAGAGAGACAGGGCTGGGCATGGTGGCCCTAGGATCATGTTTCAGGCCTGCCCAAGTAGCTCTCCAGGGTAGCAGCCACCCACACAGCTGCTGACTGGGCAGGGCAGAGCCCTGGGTCTCAGGAGCAACAGGTGGTCTGTCCACCCCAGTTGGGAGTATCACCAGCAGTGGGATAATACAGGAAGCAGGTGAGCCTGAAGAGAGGGCAGCAGGTCTGCAGGTGGGAACAGGAAAAAGCACCCTAGGTGCATGGTCAGGTCAGCACAAGCTGCAAGGAAACGAGTCTCCTTGCAGACATCAGCACAGCGTGACTGCCTGCCCACATGCAAGTGACAGACACCTGCAGGCCAATCACAACCAGGACCATGTAGACACCAAGGTCTGGAGCAGGGACTTCTGCCTGGTTTGTATGTATGACAAGCACACACCCCTTGTCACCAAAAACCAGTGCTAGTCTGTGTGTCACGCTTTCTTCCTCAGGGCCATGGCCTGAGCAGGGACAGTGCTTCCCTGGGGCTGGCACACACCTGAGGACACAGGCCAAGAGGAGATGTGTGGTCCTCCCAGAGCACCAGCAGTGCACATGTGGGCAACAGAACGGCCAAGCCTGATGTATGGCCAGTCACAGCAGCGGCTCTCAAGGGACACAGATCAACCTGGATGTCAGTTTGAGCAGCAGGAAAGCTAGCCACCTGCCCCTGACAAGAACACATGCCCACCTCTCCCTCTGAGACACGGAAGACAGATCTGCCTGCTTCTACCCCTTGTTAGGGGAGCACAGGGAATAATTACCAAGTGGTTGTGCTAAGCTTCACCCCTGTGGCTCCCAAGGTGGCTGTGGAGCTGACGTCAGCAGCAGGGCTAAGCACAAACAACCCAGGGCACTAAGAGGCCCGCGCATGAGGACAGGGCAGCTGAGCACAGCATGGTACACGGGGGACACGCCCCAGAGGGGCCTATACCTCACTTGGGCCTGCTTGGGTGACACTCAGCCAAGAACACACATGGGACTCAGCAATCACAAGCAGTGCTGTCCCTAGGCCCCTGGATGGAGGGCATTTACTGCTCACCAGGGATCACAGACCCAGCAGTAAACAAACAGGACCTCAGGCCTCAGGGCTTGGGTCCAGCCCTCCCAATGGGCAGTGACTGGTGGTAGCCCACAGCTGGAGAGACCAGACTAGGAGTCTCTTGGCCCACAGCAGCAGCGTTTTCTGACAGAGGAGTTCTGGTGGCCCTAAAGGCCAGAGCAGGCAGAGAACAAAACCAAGCCATCCCCCTCCCTCTGTGCCTAACCCCATGTCTTCAGTGCACCACCTTTGTCTTCAGCTGCAAGGAGGAAAAGTACAGCACAGAAAATCTGATTCATGAAAGGGCAAGATCCCATGAACAAAGCTCCCAGCAATGCCCTGGTAGTGAGCACTCACGCACACTGCTACAACAGCTGAGGACTACACAGCCCCAGGAATCACGTGGACGTGTTTTGGAGGCCAGGGCGCAAGAGCTTTCCCACTTATCATTGTTCCTCATTCTGCTGAAGTAACAACCACAGACTCCTTCCAAGGCCCATGCAATGGGATCACTCACCAGCAGGCCAGGGGCAGCTCTGCCAGAAATCTACCTCACCAAGGGCTTGTGAATGGCAAGGCGGCCTCAGACTATATTTCTGCCTTCTCCAAAGCTAGCCCATCTCTAGGAACCAGGGACAAAGCCTCCCCACGCTTTCACAAGAGGCACTCCTTGAGAAAGGAAAATAATACAAAAGACCTCATTTCCCATTCACACATGGAAGAGGGTGCTTCTGGCCGCAATGACAAAAGTTAATTTCAACTCAAAGGGTTATGACCTACAACCAACACAAGACACACCCATGCCAGATGGTCCTGAACTGTGCTTGGCTTCCGAGAGCACCTGCCAACCTGTTTCCTGATACCTACACATATCACAGATACAGAGTCGCAAGACCCCAGTGAGCGTGGGCTATCTTCATCAGCAGGCCCAGCTGCTGTGACTCACCTGGCTTCAGCTCCAAGGGCCCAGCACCCTGAGACCCTGATGCCGGGGTAAGCCGGGAAGCTGCTCATAGCCAAGAACACAGGTGGGCACAGCTCCTGGACAACGGGGTGACCCCAGGTATGTGTATGTGGGGCTCAGGACTAGCAGTTATGGGGGCATCATTACTCTTAAGCCCACAGTGGCCCCATGACAGCTCAGGAGCTCCAGCTGCCTGAACTGCCCCTCCACAGGTGGGATCACTCTGTGGTCAGCACAGTGGGTAAAGAGCAGAATGAGACCCAGAGGCAGGTGCTGTCTGCTACAAGGCAAGGGAAGCCTAGCAGCTGGGAGGTCCCTGTGATCCCACAGCACTAAGGGAAAAGCACTCACCGCTGTCCTCAGAGGCCAAGTCCACAGGCATAAGAGGATCACTGAGCCGGGGGCTTGTGCATGCCTGATATTAATAGCACTGGCTTTGCCCAGTGTGGCCAGGACAAGCCCCAGGCTAGCCTTCAGTGTGAAGGGCCCCTCCTGTGCCTGGGGCAGCACCCTTAAGCCCAGGGCGTGCTGAGGCCCACTGTGCTCCTATACCCCTCCCCAAATTCCCTGGAGAAAGCTCCAGTTCCCTGGCTGCCTAGGGCTGTAGAGCCACCCCTCACAGCAGAGACTGGGAAATCTGAGGTGCCTCTTGAACAGCTGACCTGAATGTCAGTGCTGAGCTGGGTGCCCCACCCCTGCCCCAAGGTGCCTCCTGTAGGCATAAACAAATCTGAAACTCTATCCTTCAAGGAGAATAACTGCCCTGCCTCAGCAAGGGCAGGACAGCCACAGTCCTTTTGCTGACGTCATGAGGGGTCTGCACTAAGAAGAACCTGCTGGCCCTGCGCTTCTCCTAGGGAAAGATGGAGCAATCCCGTGTGCCAGTCCCACTGCAGCAGTCTCTCAGCAAGCTCTGAGGCTGGGCTGCCAAGGCTCAGAAAAAAGGGAAAATTCCCTATGGAGCTCACTCCTCAGAAGCAAGGGGGACATCTGTGCTCATAGGAGCCTCACCCTGCTCCCCTGATCTTAGGGGGCTGGCTGTCCACACTGCCAGCATGGGAAGATGGGCAGGGGCCGGTCTACAGTCAGGGGTACAGAGTTGGAGCTCCTTGGCGTTTGCTAGCTTGGCTATCTGAGCAGCGGAGTGGACTCAGGCTGGTCAGCCTGGCATGTACCTGGTGCCAGCTGGTCAGAGCTGGACTGGGTAGAAGGCTACAGGTATATGGGAAGCCAGTACTGTGTTGACAGAGGCATGCAGCTGTTAACTGAACCACCAGGCACCACCCTGGAACTGCCTGGCCCTGCCACAGTCACCTGCTCAGGGTGGCATCCAGTGGGCCCCTCCATGGAGCTGGTCTCTTAGCCACGGCAGCTCAAGACAGGGACGGGCAGGATCTCCTGGCCATCCCGAAGCAGGTAACTTCCAGACTCCCCTGCTGCTGGTCTCCCTAGCACTCCCACTCCCAGCACCACTGACAGCACCAATGCCTGCCTAGAGCAGCTTGGCTAAGCTTTCCATCTGGGGCTTCCTCCCACTGCAGGTGTCAGGGCTATCTGAGGCAGGTGGTGCTAGAGGCTGCCCTAGTCACTTCAGGACACCCCTCTCCACCCCCTCACCTGCCATCTGTTCCACTCTGGGCCGCACCCTTCGTCACCCCCCACAGAGCCATGGCTTTCCTCTTTGCTCAAGCAGCACTACAGGAGGCTTGTGAAGACCAAAACAGGTGCCGCACCAGTACAAGGACCCCATACATGATGTCATTGTAAGGAAAAAAACAGCTGCACGTGAAGCTGCTCCTCACTGACTGTCGATGACGCCAAGGAAATCAGGAACAAACATCTCACCAGAGGATCACAGCACATTTGAAACTGATGTTGAGCACAGTATGGAACACAGGTGGCACAGAAAGGCTTTGGGCCCTCCTTTGCTGCGGTTCAGTGCTACTTTCCTGCCTCTCGGGTTACTGTTACCCAAGGACATCTCCCCACCCAGTGCCTGCAGCATAGTACCTCTTGAAACCCAGATGGGTTCAAGTTTTCCTGATAAATACAATGAAACTGGAGGGACCAAATAGCCCACAGGAGACAATTTGAGCCTGAGAGCCTTTCAGGTGAGGGGAGACAGGGGGCTCGCACTGCCCTCCCCCCGCCCCGTCTGCTTTGTGGATGCTCTGGGCAGGTCACACCAGCCTCCCTCCACTCCCCACAACTGCTCCCGTCTCCATCACAACCACAGCTGAGAGTTAACATAGCACCACATAGCACCACCGCAGGGGCCAGCAGGTGCTGAGGACAAAGCCACAGCACTGGAACAGCATGGGAGCCTCTGTTCAGGGGTGTCTGCACAGGCTGGGACCCCCAGTTATGGCCAGCCCTGGGACACTGTGACAACACTGCAGGCTAGGGGTGCATTTGAGGAACAATAAGAAGAGCTACTAGGCTGGGGTGGAGGAAAGCCTGCAGGGTATGGGCATCAGGAAAGAAGATCCAAGAAATCTGCCTGAGAAGTCCAGATGAAGCCGAGGGCTGACCAGGAAGAGTGCTGTGGACTACACTCGCTGCCTGCAGGACCACACTGAGGAAGGATGCCAATAGTCGCTGCCTCTGGTGGCACTGCACCCAGTACACTGCCTGCACATAGGGCAGGACCCAGGTGGTCCAGGCGCTGCCACCAACCTTGTCATCACGGAGTGATTTTCTCAAGAGCCCTCAGGTCTTATCTGGCCTTGCCCTCTTGTCTCAAGTTAAATCAAAGACTCAGTTGCTCTTAGATGCAAGCTACGTTCCTAGTCACTGCCCATTGGGAGGATGTGAGCCTGAAAGGACACCAGGACTTCACATCCCCAGGACCAGGAAAGGCTTTCTGTCCCGCAGCTGCTGTCTGCAGGGCACCCTCCCCTGCAGAGGAAGCAGATCCTGAGGTGGCAGCACCCAGACCACACTGCAGGAGCCCAGGCACGCAGGTGCCTGCCCAAGGACAACTCTTTTTTTTTTTAAAGAGAGTCTCACTTTATCACCCTTGGTAGAGTGCTGTAGCATCACAGCTCACAGCAACCTCCAACTCCTGGGCTTAGGTGATTCTCTTGCCTCAGCCTCCCGAGTACTGGGACTACAGGCGCATGCCACAACACCCAGCTATTTTGTTGTTGCAGTTTGGCCAAGGTCAGGTTCAAATATGCCACCCTCGGTTAATGGGGCCAGTACCCTACCCACTGAGCTGCCTTTTCATTTGAGACAGTCTCAAGCTGTCACCCTGGGTAGAGTGCCATGGTGACACAGCTTACAGCAACCTCAAACTCTCGGGCTTAAGCTATTCTCTTGCCTCAGCCTCCCAAGTAGCTGGGACTACAGGTGCCCACCACAACGCCCTGCTATTTTTTTTTTTGTAGAGACAGAGTCTCACTTTATCGCCCTCGGTAGAATGCCATGGCGTCACACAGCTCACAGCAATCTCCAACTCCTGAGCTTAAGCGATTCTCTTACCTCAGCCTATGGAGTAGCTGGGACTACAGGCGCCCGCCACAATGCCCAGCTATTTTTTGGTTGCGGTTCGGCCGGGGCGGGTTTGAACCTGCTACCCTCGCCCACCCAGCTATTTTTTTGGTTGTAGTTGTCATTGTTTGGTGGGCCAGGGCTGGATTCGAACCTATCAGCTCTTATGTATGTGGCTAGCGCCTTAGCCGCTTGAGCTATAGGCGCTGAGCAACCCTTTTTTTTTTTTTTTTGGATTGCTGGTTTTTTTTTTTTTATTGTTGTTGTAGTTTTGGCTGGGTCTGGATTCGAACCCACCACCCTTGGTATATGGGGCCAGCACCCTACTCTGTGAGCCACAGGTGCTGCCCAGCAACCCTTTTTTTTATGGCCCTCCTGTCCTCCCCAGGGGACCCTGCTCAGACCTGTAAGGAATGAGGTGTGAGCTCCTGCAGACCTGGGCACTGTGCAGCCACTGCCCTCTGACGGCCACAGCCACGAAGGACCCAAGAAGGAGCCACTGAGAGACTACCCGGGTTACAGAACCCGGCCCTCCCCCTGGCACCTAACTGCCTCTCTACAGGCTCTGGCAAAGCCCCTGAAGAACCTCGGAGCACTCTCGTTGGCAGGCAGACAGAAGGCACCATGAGCCCCCGGCACCAGAGCCCCGGCCTCTTGGGTGGGGCAGGAGCAGCCCGAACTCTGAGCTCAACTAACCGGGAAGGGAAGGTGCATCAGGCAGTCAGCCTGGCGGGCCCCACCCACTCGGGGCGGAAACCGAGGTCGGCCCCGGGGGCGCCCAAGCTAGACTCCATCCCTTGAGCCCCACGAAGACAGAGGGCTTGCGTGCGGCTGGTCTTTCCAGCCCGTTCGGAGCCAACTGGGCTCCTGCAACCACCGGGGTGGACGAAGTGCCCGCCCTCGGGAGCGTGGAGATTCGGGAACCCGGCGTCTGGGGACCTCCGCGACAACCGCTTCGGATTGCCCAAAGCGAGCACAGGGCGTGGACAGGATGACAGACACCCCCCCTTTCCGAGCTGAGGGCCCAAAGCCAGCCCTCAGAGAGGCAGCATCCACAGCCCCGCGGTCGCCCAGTGCCCGGCTTCCGCCCCCACAGCGCACGGGAGAGGCGTGCGCGACCCCGGTCCTGGCTAGGCGCCCGCGCCTACCGGTCCTCGCACGCAGCCTCATTCTCGGCCGGCCGACCTGGCGCGTCTCTAGCTGCTGTGGGCGGCGGGGCCGAGGGGGAGGCGTCCATGGGAACCGGGGGCGCAGCCATGGAGCTCGCAGGCCTCTTCGCACGCAAGCCGCCGGGATCCGCGGTTCCGGGCCCCACACACGCCGCGGGGACTACGAGCCCCATAAGGCCGCGCGCCTGACTGTCCGGACGCCGGGAGCCATGGTTCCAGCCCTGCGCACGCGCCGGAAAGACCCCCACTCCTCGCATTATAGAAATCAAAATAAATCAATAATGCCCAATCAAAAAAAAATCAATAAACATTTATTTGATACAGTCATCTTTAATACATACAGTGACGGCCGTCCCGTGCCACTCGGGGCCTGGGGCGGGGTGGGGAGTGGACTGGGACAGATGGTCACAGGGCAGGTGGGACTGAGCTCACCGTCCAACATCTTGCAAATAAACACTTTGTAGATAGAATATATATGTATATATATGGTTACAAGTGACAGTTGGAGCCTCTCTTTCGAAATGCACTTATGTATGGAGAACTGGAATTAAAAACCCAAACCAAGAAACCCCAAGGGTGTGACCTACTGGCCTTCCCAGCTTAGGCTGCCTTGGGCCAGGGCAGGGTGCAGGGAAACAGCCCTCCCCTCCCTATCTGGTCCAGCACCACCATACAGGAGGGCTGAAGGGCACACAGGAGGCCCCCTCATCTGCCTTTGCATCAGCAAATAAAGTGCATCCTAGTTTACGTGAAGTGACAGCTTCTTGAGTCAGCCCTTCTGGGCACTTTCCTGTTTGGGGGGGGGGGTGCGCTGAACCAGAGGTAGATCAGCAGAGGGCTCTCAGCCCATACCGACCACACCCCAAGGTCTACCATGCTGGTCCCTCTGAGGCACCCAAGGTGCTCACCCGGCCACATGTGGGCCAGAGGTGGGCAGATCTGACCCCATTGGAGCCCCTACCCTCTTCGGAGCAGAGCCCCAGAGACCTGCCAGCACCAGGGGAAAGGAGGGGTGCTTAGACTCAATGGCCACATTTGGCAGCAGCCCCATACTTAAACACAAAAAAGGGGGTTAAAGTGCTAAACATCAAGCTATCCAGGACCCCCTTCCCACACCAGGGCTATCTGTGGGCTTTCAGAAGTGTCCTGGAAACTCATCCCCCAACAAAAACCAGACCCCTTTCCCCTATCCCCCAGGGCCAAGTACCTGAGAGGCTGGGGCATGCAGCCACATCCTTAAGAGGCATTGGGGTCCAACCTGCCCCACCACTGGTGACAAGCCCAAAGTGCACCTAAGCTCCAGCCCAGTGCCTGCCCCTCCCCCACACCCTTCTGAGGCTGCCCCTGCAGAGCTGCCTGGGGCAGACTGCACTGAAGCTCCAGAACACAGGAAGGCCCTCCTGCCCCAAACCTACCCTTTGGCCTCTGCCACTGTCACCCCACCTCTGCCCAGACCGTGTGAATGAGGGGAGTCCAGGTCGCCACGTTTCTTCCCTAGCACACCAGGCCAGGGCAACTGATGGTCAGCACCTTCTAGCTAAAGAAACCAGGCACAGGATGTGTGCTGTGTCCCCAGCTACAGATCTCCCCTGAAAGTGTCTCCCCACTGTAGGTCAAGGGCAGCTGAGCCCAGTGGGGGCCCCTTCTTCCTGGGGTGGGGGGTGGGGCAGAGAAGTGGCCAGCCATTACTGCCTCTCTGAGCAGCACAGGCCCTAGCCCCAGAGGCCACCGGCCCCAAGACCCACCATCGGCACCAGGAAACCCTTAGCACCAAAGTGACAGATTGTTGTGAGTTTTTGTATAAAAAACAGAATTTAAAAAAAGGTTGTTACTTGTCACAGCAACAAGACTGGCATCCACTACACCCAGGAGACACGCACACAGGCAAATATCAAAATTCACATCGTCCAGGATTGGCAAGATTGAGTCTTCAGCTTACCCCCTGGAAAACGGCCTCCATCCAAACCCACCCTCCAGGGACCCTCCTCCCTGCAACACCATGGGAAAGGTGGGAACCTGGGAGGGTCCCAGAGGCTGTGTAGCCACCTCCTCCAGGTCCCCAGACTCCTTGCCTGTCCAGTGTCCAACCTGCAGACCCCACAATCCTCATGGGCCCACAGGAGCAAAAACAGAGCCCTGGAGCACCACCCATTACTGTGACCTCGGCCAAATCCCCTGCCCTGGCTGGCTCCTGTACCAAGTGACACACAACCACACACAAAGGAGCAGGTTGAGAGAAGGGAAAAGGGGGCTCCCAAGGAAGCTGAGGCCGAACAGACCAGAAGAGGGAAGGTCGCCACCTCCCAGTGGCCAGACAGCAGCTGAGAGCCAGGCTACTTCTATGCAGCTTCCTGCCCATGGGCGCAGGTAGACCCCAGAACCCAAACTAGTCTGCCTCTGCCCCATTAGGCTGCCCTGGCCGGGGGCCACTGTCAAAAAGCTGCAGGTTGGAGGCGGAGCACACACAGGGGCCTCACCCCCAGGGCTAGCAGCTGTGTCCAGGGTCCTCAAACCCCTGCTCCTGCCACTCTCTCCCAGACTGGGAGCACAAACACAGGCCCAAGAGGCTGGGCATGGCTCAGCAGGACGCCATGACAGAGTAAGGGTGAGGGATGTAGGAGTGAGGGGCCAGGGACAGGCCTGGAGAGGTAGAGCACAGAAGCAAAACCAGAAGTGGGTGGGCCAGGGAGGACAGGTGCTTGTCAGGTCGGCACGGCAGTGGTCGGACGGGGTCTGTCCTGGGAGGTAGCTGAGGGGGGCCAGATTCCAGTGTTGGGTGGAGGTGAGGCCCAAGGGGCAGCCAGGGCTATGCAGGTGCCCTCATCAGCCAAGAGCCTGGGTCATCAGGGAGGCCCAAGCCTGAGGGGAGCCAGGGTGGGGATCCAGCCGGTCCTGACAAAGTAGAGACTGGGGCCTGAAGGCCATGTGGCTGCTCCACGCAGCCAACAGATTCTCCCACAGAGGGCTGACTTTCCTGGCTATTGCACTTCTGCTCTTCCCGGGTCCCAACCCAGGAATGCCCTGTGGCAGCCTGACCAGAGTGAGGGTACCTGCAGGGTGTGGTGAGTGGCTGGCTATCCCACTGGCTGGCTAAACAGGCAGGGCAGGGATGGAGGACTGGAGGGCAGCAGGTCCTAGAGCCAGCCCCCCTGCCCTGAATAGAGTGGGCAGGGGGCTGGGCCCCAGCCACCAAGCTCACTTTTCAGGTGTTTTTCCAGCTCCCCCCTTCCGGCCAGTGGAGCCCCGGGGCCCCTTGTCTCTGCATCCCAGTGGCCAGTCATCCCGGCGGGGGGACAGCTTGGGCATTGGCTCTTCAGGGGCCCGCTCTTTGGGCTTGCGGCCCCGCTTCTTCCCGCCTGCCAGGTTTTTCTTCTTTTCCTTCTTGGGCACCAACGAGTCCTGGCTCCGGTGTTTGGGAGGTGGGTCTGCTGAGGTACGGAACCAGTTCTGGGGAGAGAAAAGTGGCAATTAAGACCTGGGGACAGAAAGATGCTGAGCAGCTAAGCCAGCTGCCCCTGGAGGCTGCACCCTGGCCCCATAGCTGTAGGCCCCGCAGTCTCTCTAGCCAGGCAAGCAGCTACAACACAGCAGCTGAACGGCAGGCACCCACCAAAATGGGGGCTGCTGTTTGGGGTCTCTGGGCGGGCTGTAGCCAACCCTCTTGGCTCTTTAGGGCAGCAAGATGCCACTCTGAGAAGAGACCAACAAATTTCTCAACGTGGATCATTTGTTCAAATACACACCATGCAGGCCACAGAGCTCTCCACCACCCCACACTTGGCCAAGATATGGGGCTAGCCCCTATGACCACAGTAGCAGTGATGGCTCTCACACCTCCGCATGGGTCTTCAGGATGTGGTATTTGACACCACTTTCAGAGCTGAATTCCTTTGGACACAGCAGGCATCGGTACTTGCCCACCAGGTGGTCCCCCTGCAACACACCAGAAGGCCAGCCCCCAAAGGTTAGACTTCCCCCATCCCTGGAGGCCCAAATCACCCAGATGGGTTAAAGGGCAGGGGCAGCCAAAGAAAGACATTAGGACAGGTTCCTAGAGAGCCACCAAGTTGCCCCTGATGCCAGGCAGGTGGGAGACAAGAAGAAGGTTTAAGAGGCAAGTGCCCAGGCAAAGGGTTGTGATCTTTGCCAAAAGACCCTTATCCCAAGCCACTGTGACCTCTGCCTGGGTCAGGATGACCACCAGCATCACACAAACAGGGCCCTGTGGGCAGGACTTGGGACCAGCTGACCTGTGACTCGGGCTAGGGGACAGAGAAGTGTCCTGGGCTGGCCATTGACCATTGGCCAGTCTCTGGATTCAGAAGAGATAGCCCAATAGAAAACAGGGCAGGGTCTCATGCTAACATGGGACCCCTCATGGATAGAAGCTGGGAGTGCCAACTACCCTGCTCGGGTAGGAGGGAGACCCTAGAACCGACCTTGCTGCAGCTGGCGAGATGGGCCTTAAGTCCAGACACACTGGAGTAGATGGCTTCACAGCACTGCAAGGGGAGATAGGCATGGGTGAGGGCTCCCTAGGTGCAGATCCCACATAAAGATGGACCCCTGCTCCAACCCAGGGTAGTTCTAAGGCCTCTTTGGGGCAAGCAGGACTTGACCCCAGAATTCCTGGGGAGTAGGCAGGCTGGGCACACAGGGCCTCAGGTGACTGGTTACCTCCTAAGAGGTATCTGTCTGAGCCTCTGCTCCTGCCCAAAGGGCCATACCTGGGTCTCTGTCCCCACGCTGTCTCCCCATGCCCCCCACCAGTGTGCCCCAGCTCACGTCGTTGGGGCAGTTGACGTGGCCCTTCTCCTTCACTTCACTCTTCCATGCCTCCAGCAGCTGGGGGTTCAGCGTGGGGAGGCCTGGCCGCGTGTAGTTGAGCTGTGGAGTCAGGCCCAGCCCAGAGTAAGCCTGAGGCCCAGGATGCCCAGGCTGGTCTGAGAATGCTGTACTCAGTGCAGGGGCCCTAGGGCAGTGGGCTGTCGCAGACTCCAGGACAAGGCACACCGTGCCCAGAGCCCAGGGGCTTTTGAGCTCAGAAAAGCAACAGGTATGACTGTGGCCCATGGTCCTATCTGTGGCCCCTGGGCAAGCACTTTACCCGTGCAGTTTCGGGCACGAGGTCATCCTTCATGCGCCGCTTGGTCCAGTCTCGGGCCAGCTCATCCTCTGCAATCTCTTGCAGATGGAACACGGCAACCTGGGCCGACGTGCGGCGGATGCGACCGCTTGGGGTCCGCTCCACACCCAGTAGGTCCTCGGCCTCAGGTGGCTTGTGTATGGGGTCCTCGGGGGGCTGGATGATAGGAAAGCACAGATGCCAGAGAGAGCCACAGGCATGAGAAGGCAAGAGACAGAGTCAGTGTGAAGTGCAGGTAGGGCATGGCCCCTGAAGGCATGTAGACCCAGGAGATGTGCCCATGTGTCGGGGACATGGGCCATAAAGGCAGCCTAAGGGAACACAGAGGCACCAGAGTTCCAGGCTCCAACTCTCCCAGCCATTGGGACACACATGTCTCATTGGGAGGGACAGGGAACATAGGTATGAGGTGCTATGTGCTCTGTACCCAAGGGACACAGGAACACACATGTAATACACAGGAAAGAATGCTGCGTCCACAGCCTGGGGCCATGGAAGAGCCACAAAGACATGGATGACCACAGGCCACTCACCGGGGCTGTGTGCTCCGAGCGCATATGGTAGTCATGGCCAGCCTTGGAGCGGTAGGTCTTGTCACAGTGGGTGCAAGGGAAAGAGGGGCTATCCACCTCGCAGGGCGGTTTCCCACAGCGCCGCTGGTGGTACTGGTAGCCCATGAGGCTGGAGAAGGCAGCACCGCAGCCCTGGGGTCCAGGGACCAGAGGTCAGGGAAGTGGCCAATGAGGTACCCAGCCCTGTGCCTGCTGTGCCCCCACTGACCTCCTGGGGGCAGCGTAGTCGTCCCATCTGCTTCAGTACCTTTCGCAGCCGCTCTCGTTCCTCCTGCTCACCCCCCTCGGAAGCCTCGGCATCAGAGGGCTAGGACGGGGACAGCCTCAGCACCCTCCACCACAGGCCCGGACCCACCCTGCCCAGGGTGGGCCCAAAGCATCCAAGGTTAGGCACAGGGGCCTCAGTGGGTGTGGGGTGAGAAGACAGAGTCAGGCTGGAAGGGGAGTGGTGTACCTTGGCACTGTGCTCGGCCATGGTGTGGTAGTTGAGACCAGCTTTGGACTTGAACTGCTTCCGGCAGTGCTGGCACTTCAGTGCATCCTGCAGCTGTGGACATGGGCTATCCGGTGAGAAGCCAGGCCCAGGGACCTGGCCTGCTTCCTGGCACCTCCTCGTACATCCTGGGCAGCCTTACCTTCTGACACACCTCCATGTGCTTCTTGAGTCCCACGAGGGTCTTCCGAGTGACCACACTGCAGGTGGGGCAGATAGCCTCCCCTCGTTCGTGGATGGCCCGCTGCCACTGTTCCTCAGGGCCACCTGTGGGGTAGGGTAGGGCCTCAGGGGCTGGGGACTTCTGGACACCCTGGTCACCACATGCAGAGTCCAGGCTCCACCCCACAGGGGATACCAGCCCTGAGCCCTGCCAGGCAGGCCCTACCTATGGCTGGGTGGGCCATGGGGGCTGGTGCCTCCTTGCTGACAGTGATAGGGGCTGGCACTTTCTTCCGAATGTCCTCAGGGCCAGGCCCCTCCTGTTTCTTGGAGCGGTGAACTCGGGCCTTGTCCTCGGCTTTGACCAGGCCTGTGCACACAGTGGGAGGTGATATGAGGCTGGCATACGTGTGCATACCCCCAACCCTGGAGATGTCTACAGGGTCTCACCTTTGAGCCCAAAAGTCCCTGAAATGGATGGCTGCTCCCCTGTAAACTTCTTGGGTGTTTTCTGTTTCCTTCCTGACTCGGGGAGAAAAACAGGACCCGAGATTCTGGTCAAATAACCATAAAGAAGCTGCAGCCTGACCCGGCCACTGCCCCCAGGGCTCTCTTACTGTGCCTCGTGCGTTCCGGATCTTCCTCAGGCGGGGACACAGGGCCTGCCATCCGCAGTGCTTCCTTGCTGGCCAAGGACCTACTGCCCAGCAACAAGGAGCCATTGCCATGCTCTGCACTCAGCTGGGAGGCTGCGCTCTGACCCATAGTGGACGGGCCGTACTCCCCATTCTCTGGCCTCGCCTGCTTGGGCGGGATAGGGCAAGTGTTCAGGCTGTCCGCAGCCCTGCAAGGAGCAGATGAGTTGAGGGCCTGATTCTGGGCTGTTACTTCAAACCGGGCCAGGGAACATCCCAACCTGGGACAAGCCCCATACCTTTTCTTACTGCTGGTCCTCCCTGTGGCTCGAGGTGCTTTGTTTTCAGACTTAGTCAGCAGCACCACTTTGCAGGGTGGTGTGTGTCTGCTGATGGCAATGGGCCTGCTGACCGTCACTGGCTTGGTGACCACAATGGGCCTGCTGACCGTCACTGGCTTGGTGACTGGCACAGGTTTGGTGACTGTCACAAGTTTTGTGACTGGAATGGATTTGGTGACTGGCACAGGTTTGGTGACTGGCACAGACTTGGTAACTGGTATGGGCTTGGTGACTGGCACAGGCCTAGCAACTGGCATGGCCTTGGTGACTGGTATAGGCCTGCTAACTGTGACTGGTTTGGTGACTGGCACGGGCCGACTAGCTGTGACAGGCTTGCTGATGCCAATGGGTTTGCTGACACCCACGGGTTTGCCAATAGACACAGGCTTGCTCACTCCAATGGGCTTGCTGACCCCAACAGGCCGGCCGATGGTGACCGGCCGGCTGACTGGCCCCGGCTTGGGGGCAGGCAGGGGGCAGTCCATGTGGTTCCAAATCCGGTGTTTCTCCAGCTGGGTCTTGGAGGTGAACGCAGCCTCACAGAAGGGGCAGGGGAAGGCCAGCCTATCTGAGATGGCACCCTGGGCAGGGAGGGCAGGTGTGGGCCAGGCCCTGGAGGGGCTCTGCCCAGACATACCCCCAGGCTTCTTCTTCCCCAGCCCCCAGTCCCTTACCCCTTGGCACCGCTGGTAATGGTACTTGAGCCCGTAGATGCTGGGGAACTCCAGCCAGCACCCCGAATTTGGACACTTCACCCTCGAGTGGGCCTTGAATTCATCTTTCCACTGGTTCATCAGGGAGAGCTGGGCATGGGGAAAGGCCAAGCTGCTGACCCTGAGGGCTCAGAGCCCTGCCTGGGCCTGCAGGGCACACACACGAGTCCCTCAGCCTTGGGACTGCAGACAGCATTCCTGCCATCATGCAGTGAATGCCCCAGACCTGTTCTAGAAGCCCCACCAACATGATCCCCTAGGCCAGTGGTTCTCAACCTTCCTAATGCCATAACCCTTTAATATAGCTCCTGTGGGTCGTGACCCATGGGTTGAGAACCGCTGCCCTAGGCCCTCATAGCAGGTAAGCCACATGAAGCCTGCCAGGCCATTGCCCACATGAAGTTGATGCCTTGTGTGCAGAGAGCAAATGAGGGCAAGGCAGGGCAGTGGTCTGGATAGGAAGACCTTAGCACAATCCCCAGCCCATAGGAAGCTCACAGGAATGTCTCGGAGGGCCTGGTTCTCAGCTTTTGGACGCCCCTTTTTCTTCCCTTCCATCTTGTCACTGGCTGGACTTCCAGAGTCAAAGCAGAGCGGGGCTTGGCCAGGAACTGTTTGTCCACCGCGGACCATGGGCATCCCTGCAACACATGACACACCCAGGCTCGGAAGCTGTTTGGCACTGCCTGCCACTGGGGGCTGCTGGAGTCCAGACTGAGCCTCATTTCCCCAGGGCCAAGCCAGATGGGGGGAGCATGGCCAACCTAGGATAAGAACTCTAGGTCCTGGGCTATGTCCAAGACAGTCCCCAGGAACTCAAGTGCCTGGCTGGGTGCCCAGGGACTGGATGCTTGGGAAGGTAGCTGCCCATAACTGTCTGGAACTGATTTTGGCCCTGACTCCTCTTACCCAGCTTTGGTGGGTCATGCAGCAGAGGAAGTCGGACTTCCTTCCGGCCACCATCCTTGGTGGGTCCACCCCTGCTGGACCCCTGGAGCCGGCGGCCTCCTCCAATGCAGAAGGGATCTGTCATCGCTTCAGAACAAGTGGACAGACCTGTGAGGCCCAACAACCCTGACTCAGGACATGTGGTGAGGCTGCCTGGGAGCCCCACCCCCAACAGGCCCTCTATACCAGCCCCGGAAGGGGAGCCTGCCTCTTATGCTTTTGGTCACACAGAAAGGCAAGTGATGGAGTTTTCCAATTTAGAGGAGGCGCTGCCCAGACAAAGTCTCCCAGATAAGAAGTCTCCCAGTACAGAAGCACTGAATCCTGTCCCAGGACCCCTGACAGCTTCAACAAACTCCTCTGTCCCAGACATTCAGTCCCAAAGTGTGCTGAGGATTACATACCCCAGTCTCCATGATGGGGGGGGTGTCCCCAGGAGAGGTGATTTGTACAGGAGGAGGGAAGCTGACAACATCCCTCTGGGGGACAATTATAATACCAGTAATGGCTGCTGGCTCACAGGCTGCCCACACCACTAGGGAACACCTTCTCCCATGTGGCCCTCACCTCTTCTCACCCAAACCTGATGAAATACCAACCTATCTGAGTAGGAACCCCCAGGTTCTTCTCCCCACACACAAATAGAAAACACTCAAGGTGATCCCCCAGCCCACTCCCCAGTGGGCAGACTGAGGACTCCATCACACCCAGTTCTGATCCATGTGCCAGCTAAACCTTCCACTTGACCTCTCCACCTATATGGAGGCCTCTTGCTCAGCCCCTCGACCACCCCTAGCTGGATGATCTTCCCCAACCTCCAATCTCAAGAAACACAGAAGGGGGTGGTCCTAGGAAGCAGGGTAAGGGTCTTGTTAACAGACCACTCCTCCCCTGATAGTTTTCAATTAACTTAGATCAGAGAAGGGGGGAAGGGGATGCTGTGTCCAGAAGGGCCAGACAGCCTAGGCTGGAGGTCAAGACAGTCATGCCCATTGCCAAGGGGGACTGCCAGGGTCCTAGGCCTGGAGGGAGGAGGGGCATAGGACACAAAGTTCTCTGGAAGTCCTCACTTTGCAACTTTGAGAGGAGACTCTGATGAGCCCAGTGGCCTGCAGTGCAGGTGCCTGCTAGGCGCCCCCTTCCAATTTTTCTGAAGCCTGGGCAAAGAATTCAGAGGAGGGGGCCCGCGGCCAGGGCTTGCTTAGGAGGCAAAGACCCTCCTTCCAACTCGACCTATGACTCACGCACCAGGATGAGAGAGACTTCTCCGCGCCAGGATACCCAGAGGGTCACTGAACCCTCGGGGGAGGGGCCCGCGTTGACCGCAGGGGACGCTGGCGGCGGGGACGCAGAGAAGGCCGCTCCGCCCAGGCCCGGGCCCAGACTCAGACCAGGACGCGCAGACGCGGGCGGCCCAGGCAAGCCTCGCCACCCACCTGTCACCTGCGGCCAGGATGCAGGCGCGGGGCGCAGGCCTCGGCCTGGCCCCGGAAGGGCCGATCGCAGGCGCGGGGGGGGCGAAGCACTGAACCAAAATGGCGACTTTTTCTGGAGAAGGAGGAGGCGGGAAGACGGCGTCGGCGCGGGGCGCGGGGCGCGGCGCGGGGTCCGGGCGAAGCGAGGCCGGCGGGGGTGGCCCGGGCCGGCCCCTCTGCCTGCGCGCGGGGATCGAGGCCGGGTGGCGGCCGGCGCGGGGACTGAGGCCAGGGCGGGGCGGGGCGCGGCTAGCGCTTACCTGCGGCGCGCAGCGGGGCTGCGGCCGGGCCGGGGCCGGGCCGAAGCCGGGGCGCGGGGCGCGGGGCGCGGGGTCCAGGCGGCGCAGGCTGCGCGCCGCGCTGCGCACATGCGCGCTCCCGCCCCTCCCACCTTTGACAGTTTTACTGGGGGTGGGGGGGGGGGAACTCTCGCGGTATTCCTGCCGCCGCTTCGCGACCGGGAGGGGTGGGTCTGGGGGAAGTGGCCCGTCGAACAGGCCTTCACCGCCCGGTTCCCGGGTCCGACGCCTGTGTCAGGCAGGCCTCCTTCTAGTCCAAAGTAGCCAGTTATGCTGCCTGTAGGGCGGGAGGTGTTTTGTGTTCAGTGAGGTAAACTGAGGCATGATAGGGACTCTGAGCTCTGCTTCAAGTACGATGCACACCTACTGAGGTGACCTAATGCATCCTGGCCCAGGGCAGGTGGGACAAGGGAGGACATCAGGGCTCTAGGCCCTGGGCCCTCTGGGCTTGTAGGGCAGGATTGAGGCTCTCTCCAAGTAGCCCTGTGGCTAGTTTTATGACTTTAGCCATTGTCAGGGGATCATCTGGCTTCTGGCCATGATGGGGCAGCTTGAGGCCATGGAGCTTTGTTGGTATTACTGATCATGGATTGACCTTTCCCAGTTTTGGGTGGTGAACCTAAACCAGCAGCATCAGAGCCCCATGTTCTTCTGTAGGGGCACTGCTGTCAGGTCTAGGCTCCTTGGTCTGAGAATGATGGGGCACTGGCCTCACAGGACTTGGGGATGAATGAATCAGAGGAAGGTGTGCCTCTCCCCAAGAAGGACTAAGGAGAAAGTAGAGCATGTGGGGTGGTGCCTGTAGCTCAGTGAGTAGGGTGCCAGCCCCATATACCAAGGGTAGCAGGTTTAACCTGGCCCCAGCCAAACTGCAACAAAATAGCTAGGCATTGTGACTGGCACCTGTGGTCCCAGATACTCAGGAGGCTGAGGCAAGAGAATCGTCTAAGCCCAAGAGCTGGAGGTTGCTGGGAGCTGTGATGCCATGGCACTCTACCAAGGACGACAAAGTGAGACTCTGTCTCAAAAAAAAAAAAGAAAAAAGGCTTGGCTCCTGTGGCTCAAGTGGCTAAGGTGCCAGCCACATACACCCAAGGTGGCAGGTTAGAATCCAGCCCAGGCCACCAAGCAACCAAAAAATAGCTGGGCGTTGTGGCCGGCGCCTGTGGTCCCAGCTACTCAGAAGGCTGAGGCAGGAGACTTGCTTGAGCCCAGGAGTTGGAGGTTGCTGTGAGCTGTGATGCCACGGCACTCTACCCAGGGGGACAGCTTGAGGCTCCTGTCTCAAAAAAAAAAAAAAAGCCAGTCTTACACAGCACTATCTCGTGGAGGGAACTTGGCCCTCAGGAGTGAAGAGACAGACTTTGGGTTTTCACCTTGTACCCACATACTATCAAAACTTTTTACCATGTGCATATACTACTTTTAAAATTAAAACTGACTTAAGTGTCTCAAGCCCGTTTTTACATTGCACAAGCACTTTGGACTCATCAAAATTGGTGAGTTGGAAATTGCCAACTGGGAAATGGAATTAAAAGGTATACCCCTTTCCACAACTCTTCCTGTCTCCCATCCCCTGCCCTGTCCCCCCAGAGTAAGCTCCACTACACAGCTTGGGAGCAGGGCAAATTTTTGCCTTCTCTCAAAAGGATCTACTTTGCTTGAAGACAGCACAGAGCACCCACATGGAAACAGACTCTGCAAGGAATTGGGCAGTTGGTCCTTCCCAAGAAACCTAAGCCAGAGAGGGAGTTCCTTGAGGCAGCACTGTAATGTTCTTCATTCTTTGACCATCCCCACCCTGGGGACTAGACCAGCAAGGTTTCCTGGAAGGTCAGTGTTACGTCCCCTGAGGTATGTCAAAGTTGTCAGTTTTCCCCAGTAAGCCTAGGTGTCCACATGAGAGATGTGTCTGTGTCTGTGGTAGGCATGTGCTTAGCAGCACTCACTTTGGACATTATAGTGTCAGAGTATGTCTGTGTGATCTGCACAAGGTGAGGTCAATGCCTGTGTGTCCAAATCCAGGTGACTAGACTTCAGGGGGCGGAGCGTCTAGATCTCAGCATGTGTGTGCCAGTGTCAGGGTGCTAGTTTGTATGTGAGCACCTGAATGTCAGGTGTGAGAAACCATACTAATTGTTTTCTGTGTATATCTAGATGCCAAAGTGTTGTAAAATATGGCATGTTTGTGTGATGTGCTGTGTCTTTGTGTTTCCACATGTTAGGGAGTTGTTGTGTGTCTGCATGTTAGTAATTCTGTTTGTGTAATTACATCTGTACTTAGGATATTGTTACATATCTTTGTGTCTTTGTGTCAGGGTATAATTTTGCCTATATGTCTAGCCAATAACACTTGTGTGTTGGAGTTGTTATTAATGTCACTGTGTCTCTGTGCATTTGTGTCTGTGTGTAGTCTTTGCCTCTGTATTTTTATTTGGGTGTCTGGTTGCTGTGTGTGTTGGGTGTGTGCTGTGCTCTGTGTTTCTTATGTCAGGGCATTGCTGAATAGTGAGCTCCCAACAGATGTCCTTCTCAAATCCCTTAACCTTATTTAGAAAACGGTTCTTGTAGATGTTATTAAGGATCTTGAGATAAAGAGATCAACTCATATAACCCAGGTGGGCCCTACATCCAAGTGCCTGCATAGGATAGGGAGATAGAGGGCGACTTGAGACAGAGGAGGAGGTGGTGGTTTGGCTGCAGAGACAGATTGGAGCAGGGTGTCTTTGAGTCCTGGATACCCCAGGCAGCTGGCAGAAGCTGGAAGAGGCAAGGAAGGGTTCTCCCTTTGAGCCCCCAGAGACAATACTGTCCTACTAGATTTGGGGCTCTGGACTTCAGAACTGTGAGAGAATAAGTTCTGCTATTTCCAGACACCTGGTATATGGTCCTTTGTTACAGTACCCTGGGAACTTCACAATTGTGTCTGGGTGTCATGTCCAGCGCTGGGGTGCTGTCCACATGGCTTTAGCTCAGGTTTCCAGCCTCTGACTTGTCTCCATGATGTTCTAGGCTTAGGATGCCCCATCTAGGATGCTACTCCACTGACCCCTGGTGGCAATGGATGCAGGCCCCCTCCCCCAATCCAGCACCTTGGGCACTTGAGAACTAGGTTTATTTCTGATTTCTTGTCAGAGTATAAAAAAGTGAGCACAGAATAAGGAAGATGAGATGAGGTTGGGGCAAGACAGAGTGGGGAGGAAAGGGGCAGAGCCAGGAAGGGCCCTCTGGAAGCAGGCAGATGCCATGAGGGGGGTGGGATGTTTGGGCAGCTGGAAGGGCAAAGGTGCTCAGGAGAGGGGGTTCATGGGGTGGAAGGGGCCTGGCTAGTTGTTCAGTTGCACTCAGGACCTGTGATGACCAGCTTCAAGTCCCAAGGCCAGCTCAAAGCACATAGGGGGGACTGGGAGCTCAGCTTCATCTATCCCTGAGATTTTCAGAGTCCCCGAGAGGAGTGGGATAGGGCAGAAGAGCAAGAGGGAGCTCTGACTGCTCCACTGTCCTTCTGCCAGGCAGCACCAACCCCAATCCACCCAGGGAGGGCTTGCTCAGGCTTCTGTTAAGGAGCTATGGGGGAATGACACTCAGGATAGCCTCTCTCAGGATTCTAGGTTTTCCTGCAAAAGCACTGAGGAAACACCCACACATAGCTGTGCCTCAAAGGGCGTCTCCCTGAACCTGGAAGCAGGGAAGAGGTGCAAAAGCAAGACTTTCCAAACAGGATGGGGAGCACTACAAAGCCAGGTGGACACTGGGGATAGAGCCACCTGACTAGGGCTGGAGTCTTGATGTCCTTATTTGTTTCTGGAGTTTGGGCCATCCTGACCTCTTTCCACCTCAGTTCTCATGAATAGATGGGGTTGTGGTGAGGATTTATAAATAATGAATGAGTGGAAGTGCTTGGCATACTGCCCAGCGGGGCAGGAGCTGTTGACCATTCCCATTCCTTTGGAGGGTGGATTGGGGCTTCTGGGCCCTGGCAGGGGCAGGGGAATGGTAGGTACAAGCCAAAGGGAGCCATGCCAGTTTATCCCACCTGTGCAATTTTAACCTGGCAGTGCCAGTGGAGGGCTCAAAACTGTACTAGATGAGTGGGTAGACAGATGAGTGGCTCAGCAAGTAGGGGATATGTAAATAAACAGAATCCCTGGTGTCTGGGGGATGTCTACAGCTCTGGCTCCAGGCAGCTGCCCTGCATGCTACCAGTACACTGGGGGAAGGCTTGGGCTCAGGTCCCAGGAGGAGGGGCCACATTTAAGCAGCCCCCTACCTACCCTGCCCCAGGCACAGACTGAAGTGCCTAACCACAGGTGCTTGGAGGTGGTGATCCTGGTCTTGCCTGTCCATTGGGCAGGCTTGGCCACTAGGGCATCCAGCAGGGTCCACAAGAAGCTACACAGCCAGCTCTGCCTCATCCTTGGCTGTGGGCTCTGGTCACAGTGCTGGGGTCTGGGGTTCAAACCTTGACAGCAGCTAGGACATGTTTCCAAAGGAAGCTGTGGGTGGATAAGGGTGAGAAGGTTGAGGTCCCCAGCACCAACTGACTGTAGCCTGGCCCCCTGTGGCCCCTGGGCACTCTCCTAAGGTCACCAACCCACCCTGTTCTCAGAGGGGCCTCTCAGCCCAGCCCCCAGGCTGCTCTGGCACCCGCCCCTCACACTGACCTTGGCTGAGCAGCTGCAGGCTCCGCCCCTCCTCGCGCACCTGCAAGCGGAGCACCTGCTGCAGCACCTCCTGCCTCTGGGCCTCCTGGGCCAACCCCATTCGCTGCAGCTTTTCTGCATTCAGCCGCAACAGCGCCCGACCTGCAGAGAGGAAGAGAGGCTGAGCTAAGGCCTCTCAGAAGCACCAAGAGTCAAAGCAGAGACTAAGACAGAAAAGGGTGAGGAAAGTGCAAGTGCAGAGCAGAAGTGGGTACAGAGAAACTCAGACAGAAAGAGAACCTGAGAAAGAGACTTTGGAGGATAGGGGCAGAGGAAAGGAAGGAGAGCAAAAGACAAAGACTGAGCAGGGAAACAAGACTCCCTCCTGAGCAAGGAGACTGGGAGAGACCCAGAAAGAAAGGCACAGAGAGATATAAAAGACAGATTCTTCAAGGAGACAAAGACTAGAGGACAGAGTGACTTTGAGGAGGAGACAGACAAGAGATGGAAACAATAGCAAGAGAAACAAAGGCGGGCTGACTGTGGGGGAGGGTCTCTCCCAGGCATTCTGGCTCCCTCCCACTGCTCCTGTTGTACCGGTGATGGCGTGCTGGGAGAAGGCCTCAACATAGACGAGGTAGTTGTGAGGACAGTGCTTCTTAAGCCATTTGCAGACGTCCTGCTGACTCCATAGGACCACGGGCCGTGTCAGGGCGCCCAGCGAAGGGCTCGTGTGGTACAAGCCATAGTGGTCAGAGTACAGCCGACCCTGCTAGAGAAGAGGGTGGGTGGCAGGTAGAGTGGTGGGCAGGGCAAGCAAGGGCTGAGGCGGGCAGAGGGGTGGGTACCTGGGGGGTCTCTGTGCCCGGCTGTTGCAGGAGCTTGACTGGCCTGCTGCCAGCTGCTCTCTGGCTACGGGAGTCGTGCCACGTGAGGCTGGTGACCTGCGCGCGAGGCAGGTGGCAAGGGATGCTCTCAGCAGACACTGTGTGTTCTAGGAGGGTCCGGCAGAAGCTGAAGTGGGCAGTGGCTGTATGCAAGGGTGCCTGGTCAGAGCAGTCAAGGGCAGGGCCAGAGGCTCCTCTCCCCGAGAGCCAGCTTCTTGCCCAGCCCATCTCCCTCCATCACTGAGGGGAGTTGCTTTCCCTGTGAGGGGTTCTCCAGCCCCCAAACATGAAGAAAATGTGCAGAAGCTGTTGTAAGGACCCTACTCAGCTGTAAGAACTGAAAACATACTTCTCCTTATAGGCCTATGGCCAGGCAAAGGGTGGTATCCTGGGGGACTCCCCTGACTTCACCCTGATGGAGCTTAGCCTTCTGGCTTCATGAACCGAAAGGCTGTGCTCTGAGCAAGCTGACAAGTGGAATTTCTTCCCCCAAACACATGCCTTTCCTGCCATACTGCCTCCCACATGTCTCAGGACAGCACTCTGTGGGGGTAAGTGTCCACTGGGCATGGCCTGTCTAGCACAGGTATGTAGGGATGCAGCCTTGTGCTCAGAGACTCGGAAGATGCCCTGGGGTCGCTCTTCCCTCTCCAACTTCATGGTACTTATCACATGAGTCTGGTGAGGGGCAGACACCACAGTGAGGTGTGGGTTCCCACACTTGCCTAGTTCTGGTAGGCACTGTGAATAGGTGCTCTATAGCACCAGCAACTGCAAATTTCAGAGCCTAGGAGGAGACAGCAAAGTGGGTACAGGCTTGCTCTATCTTCTTGACACCCATTCAGGGAAGGAGGAGGTTCCCATATCAAGGCCCTTGACCTGCTCCCCCCACACACAGCAGCAGCAGAGTGAGAGACCTTTCCTCTCACAGATGCAGGCGCCCACTCTGTACTGCGGGCAGTGCTTGCTGGTGAGTCCAGCAAGGCTGAGTAATGGGGGGAGACACGTCCCACTCTCCTGAACTTTCAGCCCATAAGACTCCAGAGACTTAGCAAGCCTCTAATTCTTTCAACTTCGGGTCTGGGGTCAGCAGATGGTGTAGTCAGCGGGCCACCGCCCCGAGGTAGCCTCTAGTGCTTCGGAAAAAGACTTATTCTAACCCCGCACCCTTCCCCAGAAAGGTATGGTGGTCTCAGGGCTTTGCAGGAGCCGGAACTGTTGGGCTGCAGCGAGCCAACGCCTTCGCTCGCGCAGCACCTGCCGCGGCCAGTGTGGCCCCGCCTATTTCCTGCCCGCACTTGGAGAGGTGGCTCAGCCAGTCTGTCCGTCGGTCGGTACCTCCCAACCCAAACGTCAGAATTCAATAAGGAAATGGTGAATGGTGCGGGGGGAGGGGCACCGGAGCTGGGCAGTAACCGCTGCCCCCTCTTGGCCCCACCCACAAGGGCTAGGGGGGTTTTATTCGCGTGAAGAAAAAGGTGACCCTAGTGTGGTGCCAGCCTGGAGACATGAGCCTCGGCCTTTTACGCCCTCACCCCAACCCAAGGGCAGGCTGATCCTCAAGGCCTGAGGCTGCTTCCCCCCCAGCGCAGGACAAAGGCCACTGGGACCCTTTTAGGCCAGAACGCCCCCAGCTTGCTCGACGCTGCTGCTCTAAACCCACCGGGTCCCGCCCCCATGCCTCTCTGTCCTCAAGCTTCCCACCCACAATAACCCCGCGCCCCTGTCCAGCGCCGCTCACCGTCCACATCCCGGCGCTCCCCAAAGCCCGCGCGCACTGCCCCGGCGCGGCCTCGCGGGGGGCTCAGCTTGGACCTCAGCTCGGTGAACATGGGGCCCGCGGTGCCAAGCCCGCGCACACGCCCCTTGCTTAGTGCAGGGCGGCCGGTGTGGCCGGCGGGGAACGCGCGCCAGCGCCCCGCCCCGCCCCAGCCAGCCCCGCGCCTCAGCCGGTCCCCGCGGCCGGCGATTCTGCGCGGCGAGGCACCTGCCGCCAAGCCCTGAGTGCCGGGCGCGCTCCGGGAACTCGGAGGTGTGTCGGTGGCGCGCGGGTCTGGGTGTGCAAAGGGTGTCTGCCAGGGCAAGGGGCGTCTATGCGCACCTGGGCACAACTCAACAAACAAGTGTCTCTGCACACCTGTCCGGATGCCTCTGAGGCCGGGAAGTGAGGAGTTGTCAGTTCCGTGGGGGGGTGGGGGGGCGGTGGCGGCATCTTACCTACTGCAGGGGCCTTCTCAGACATTTAGCCGTTCTCCAGACCTTCAGGAGGTCTTGCTCTCCTATGGCACCTCCTTTTCCAGAGGAGCCAGCTTGACCTTTGCTTACTCCTTAGCTGTGAATTCGACTTCCCTTCTCCCTCTATAGCCCAGAATCTGGCTCAGTGCCTGGGGGGCAGGGGTGGTACAGTGCTCACTTTTTCTTTTTGAGACAGAACCTCAAGCTGTCACCCTGGGTAGAGTGCGTGGCATCACAGCTCACAGCAACCTCCAACTCCTGGGCTCAAGCGAGTCTCCAGCCTCAGCCTCCCAAGTAGCTGGGACTACAGGCGCCTGCCACAGCACCCGGCTATTTTTTGGTTGCAGCCGTCATTGTTGTTTTGGCAGGCTCGGGTTGGATTTGAACCCGCCAGCTCAGGTGCATGTGGCTGGTGCCTTAGCCGCTTGAGCCACAGGCCCCAAGCCGTGCTCACTAACTGAAAGGGACTTGGCTAGGGCACCTGGGAAAAAGAAAATAACGGTGGCTACAGCAGGCAGGAGGGATGTATTACTTCCAAGACCTCAGCACTGGTGTGCTGGAGGCAGGAAAAATGTGGTTGCCTGGTCCAGCAGAAGGCTTGCAACCAGCTGAGTTCTGCATGGTCTGCCCAAAAGCCTGGGTATATGTGGGGCTGAAGGATATCTCACAGCAAAAGAAGTGCATATAGATATGCAGAAATGCATACACAGATTGTAGCCATGCACGTACATCCCAAACATGAGCATACACGTGAGCTGACCTGTCCACATGCCCCACTAATACACACACCTGGAAGTCATTCACGTGCTTGTGACTAGCATGTTCACATACCCTAACCCTGACAGGTCTGGCTGCATTCATTTACTACCAATTAGCTCTCTAGAAGCCAGGGATGTGGCTGGGCTAACCCTAACCCTCACCAGAATGTTCAAGGCATGATGAGGAGTATGGGTGGAGTGAACGATCAGGCTGGAGTACCTACATTTACCACAGAGGCCAGGCCCCTGAATTGGGACCTAAGAACCTGACTGCTAAAAGCACAGGGCAGCAATCTGCACACTGGACGCACACACAGACAGGCATGCGTACAACGACAACATACAAGCTCTACACAACTGAACAGGTGTGCAGCTCCACTAAGAAATGATCAAGGCACTCAGGGTTAGGGCTGCTCCAAAGGGCAGAGTGAGAGGTTGGGCTGGTTCAAAGGAGGAGGAGACCCCTGGGTTCTGTTTGCACAGGCAGGTCTCCTCGGGAATGTACTAAGAGCACCTAGAAAGCAGGGATGCCTCAGGCTCAGTTTTGGTGTCCTCTAGGGGATTGATTGCTGGGTGGTGCATCGGATCACCTCTATCACCGGGTCGGGTTCGGTCCGGCCCTGCGAGTCCCGCTTGCCACAAGAGGGAGCTCCGGTACCCGCCGAATTCCGCCCCCCGCACTTGTGACCGGAAGTCGTCGAAAGCAGCGCGTCGGGACTTCCGCCCGCCCGGGGAGCCGGAGATCAACGGGCTTCCCGCGAACTGTGCGGGCTGCTTCCGGGGCGTCCGTGACGCGGCGGCCGCGACCTCTTCCTTAGGCGGGCCTCGGACGACAGATCCTCGAAATTCTCTGCTTTTTTGCCTCCGTCGCCGTCTGGTTCCTTCCCTTCCCAGCCTTGGTTGTCGCCACCGCCATGAACAAGAAGAAGAAGCCTTTCCTGGGCATGCCCGCGCCGCTCGGCTACGTGCCGGGGCTGGGCCGGGGGTGAGTCCAGGGGGACGCCGAGAACTGGGGCTGGCTAGCGAAGGAGGGTGCTCGCGCTCAAGGCTGGGGTCTATGGGTTTGAAGGACTCTAGGTGTTTGGCTTAATGCTGTGGGAAGGGGCCGGGCGCGGTGGCTCACGCCTGTAATCCCAGCACTTGGGAGGCCAAGGAAAGCGGATTGGCTGCACTCACAGGTTCGAGACCAGCCTGAGCAAGAGCAAGACCCCGGCCTCCAAAGATAACCGGTGTTGTAGTGGGCGCCTCTAGTCTCAGCTACTAGGGAGGCCGAGACAAGAGAATTACTTGAGCCCAAGAGTTGCTGAGACGCCACAGTACTCTACCGAGGGCGACATAGACTCTGTCTCAAAAAAAAAAAAATTCCTATGTGAAGCAGCGGGTTTTGGGATCAGGAGAAGCCTGAGTATGAGTCCTGCTTGAGACCCAAGAGGGTTTGAGGCTTAACTACGCCCTGCCTCTGAGCCCAGGGTTTTTGGTTTCTTAGATGGGTGTTAATAACCCTGTATCCAGTTGCCAGTGAATAGTAGATGAGTGTCTGATTTGTAGCAGCAACTCATGATTCCCCCTCCCCTTAAGTAGGACTGATCCTTTCTGTGTAGCCTGGGCTGGGTTGGTCTGTGTGGCTGCTCATCATGCCCCATTCTTTCCCTATAGTGTTACTTGCCATATGCTGTTCAAACTGTCAGCTCGTGGGGCAGGGATGGCATTTGTGAAGCTTGAGCCTGGGTCCCCCATGTTTGCCACACAGATGACCACCATAAATTTTTGAATAAGCAGTCTCTCTCATCCTGTTTTGTTATTTGATTAGGAAAACCATTGGGGTTTGGTGCCCATAGCACAGTGGTTATGGTGCCGGCCACATGCACCGAGGCTAGCGGGTTTTAATCCAGCCCAGGCCAGTTAAACAACAGTGATAACTGCAACAACAAAAAAATAGCAGTGGGTGCCTGCAGTCCCAGCTGTAGGCTGGGAGGCTGAGGCAAGAGAATCGCTTAAGCCCAAGAGTCTGAGGTTGCTGGGAGCTAAGATGCCATGGCACTCTACTGAGGGTGACATAGTGAGACTCTGCCTCAAAAAGAAAAAAGAAAAAAGTGTCGGGTTTCACTTGTTGGTGGTATTGTGATACTTGTTGGGGTGTTGTATCTTCCCCTCCACATTCAATCAGGCTATCAAGCCTAACTTGGTCCAAACTGAACCCCTCTTCTGTGCCCACCCTACCTACAGTTGCTCTAGGCTGTTTTAGAGTCTGCAGGGTACATAGAAGACTCAGATGATGGCTTGGTGCCTATAGCTCAAGTGGCTAGGGTGCCAGCCACACATACTGGAGGTGGCAGGTTCGAGCCCAGACTGGGCCTGCCAAACAGCAATGATAACTACACCATCTTCAAAGAACCTTCACTTTACTAGGGGAGGTTTCATATTAGTTTAAATAAGTACGTGTAGAGGAACAGATTTAGAACTCTGGGGTTCCAGAGATTAGCGGATGCTTAATGGAGTGTGGCATTTGAGCTAAGTTTGGAAGGAGAGCTGGATTTGGGGTTATACAAATGTGAAATGTGCAGGGGAGAAACTGACATTTAGTGTGTGGGCAGCTCACAGAAAAGTTAAGAGGAAAACAGGTTCAGCAGGAGTCCACTATGGATGATATGTGCACGTGCATAGAAATGTGCATGTGCATCCATAGCTCTGCATGAGCTACAGGAGGTTAGAGGTCCTTAAAAGTAAGGCTAGAATTCCTGGAGGAATCAGAATGACCCTGACACTGAGAAGTCCTTAGAGTTGCATTTTGGGAAGAATCATCTGGCAGAGCATAGGTTGAGGTAGAGGAAGGCTGAGAGGCAGGGCTGTTAACTTGGTTCCGCCTATGATGTGAATCATGGTCTGGGGAGGAGAGATTTTGGAGGAGGACTCATTGGTACTTGGGAGCAGACAGGATGGAAGATATGGGAAAGGTAGGCAAAGGTGGTGTCATGGTCCTTGCTGTGGTACCTGGGATAGTAGTGCTGTTATCAGCTAAAACAGCCTAGAGCAACTGTAGGTAGGGTGGGCACAGAAGAGGGGTTCAGTTTGGACCAAGTTAGGCTTGATGGCCTGATTGAATGTGGAAGGGAAGATGAAGTCTGGGTGTGAGAAGCCTTGGTATCCTTCAGAGTGTAGGCAATGTTTGAGAGTGCAGCTCACTGTCTCCAGGCTCTCTGGAGGTTTCCCAGAGGCATTAGATAAAGAGATGTTATTAGGTGATGCCTGGAGGTCAAGGGAAGAGCATGGGAACAGGGTTTCCCAGATAATGGGTGTCTTGGGGTTTCCTGCAGTGCCACTGGCTTCACTACCCGATCAGACATTGGGCCAGCCCGGGATGCAAATGATCCTGTAGATGATCGCCATGCACCACCCGGCAAGAGAACCGTTGGGGATCAGATGAAAAAAAACCAGGCTGCTGACGACGATGACGAGGATCTGAATGACACCAACTATGATGAGGTGATTTGTGTTGGGCTTCCGTGGCTCCTCCAACCAGTCTCCAGGAGGGCTGACCAACTTCATGACTCAATGTGTTGTTGGCATCTGTGATGAGTAGCATTTAACATTTTAGCTGTTCATGGGATATTTTTAGCAGAGCATGAGGGAGAGCAGGAAAAATAGAAAGAAATGTGTGCCCCCCCCACTTCAAAAAAGATACATTTACAAATACTAGGATCACTGCCTTGGTATATTGTACTGGGCAGTCTTTTTTGTTTTTTTTTATGGTATGGAACACTTCATGAATTTGCCTGTCCTTGTCTACAGGCCATGCTAATCTTCTCTGTATCGTTTGATTTTTAGTTAATGTGCTGCCAAAGTGACAATATTGGCCAGTCTTTAATGATGAAAACTTGAAGTGGGATTGTTGGTAATATTTGCTATTTTAGCTTTAGCACTTGCTCCTAGTCAAGTAAGGTTTTGTCAGGTGTTTTCTAACACATCTTTCCTCTGAGGAAAAGATTCTTTTTTTTAAAGACAGCATCTCACTATGTCACCCTTGGTAGAGTACCATGGCATCACAACTCACAGCAACTTCAAACTCTTGGGCTTAAGCAATTCTCTTGCCTCAGCCTTCCAAGTAGCTGGGACTATATAGGCGCCCACCACAATGCCCAGCTATTTTTTGGTTGCAGTTGTCGTTTAGCTGGCCTGGGCTGGATTTGAACCTGCCAGCCTGGGTGTATGTGGCTGATGCCCTACCCACTGAGCTACAGGTGCCATCTCTTTTAGTTTTTTTTTTTTTGAGACAGAGTCTCAGGCTGTCACCCTGGGTAGAGTGCTGTGGCATCACAGCTCACAGCAACCTCCAACTCCTGCCTGGGCTCCAGTGATTCTCTTGCTTCTGTCTCCCAAGTAGCTGGGATACAGGCACCCGCCACAACCCCCAGCTATTTTTTGTTTGCAGCCATCATTGTTGTTTGGTGGGCCTAGGCTGGATTCAAACCCGCCAACTCAGGTGTATGTGGCTGGAGCCTTAGCTGCTTGAGCTACAGGCACCTAGCCACTTTCTTTATTTTTTATTTTTATTTTTTTGAGGCAGTCTGGCTTTGTCATTCTGGAGTATGTGGCACATAGCTCATAGCAGCTTCAACTGCTGGGCTTAAGTGATTCTCCTGCATTAGCCTCCCAAGTAGCTGGGACTACAAGGCACCTGCCACAACACCTGGCTATTTTTGGAGACGAGGTCTCGCTCTGGCTCAGGCTGGTCTCAAACCTGTGAGCTCAGGCAATCCACCCATCTCTGCCTCCCAAGTGCTGGGATTGTAGGTGTGAGCTATCACACCCGGCCCCCTCTTTATTTTTTTAAACAGAGTCTCTGTTACTCTTGAGTAGAGTGCTATGGCATCACAACTTACAGCAACAAGAGCAAACTCTTAGGCTCAAGCCATCCTCCTGCCTCAACCTCCCAAGTAGCTGAGACTATACATGCCCGCCACCATGCTTGGCTAGCTTTTCTCTTTTTATTTTTTATTTTATTTTATTTTATTTTTTGAGACAGAGTCTTACAGTGTCACCGTTGGTAAAGTGCTGTGGCATCACAGTTCACAGCAATCTCTAACTCCAGGGCTTAAGCAATTCTCTTGCCCCAGCCTCCCAAGTAGTTGGGACTATAGGCGCCTGCCACAACACCCAGCTATTTTGTTGTTGTTGCAGTTGTCATTGTTGTTTTAGCCAGCCCAGGTGGGTTTAAACCCTCCGGCCTTGGTGTATGTGGCCAGTGCCCTACCGACGGAGCTACACGCGCCCCTCCCATCTGTGCTCTTTCATTAGTTCTCCTTATAGAGTTCTTTGACTTCCTTGGTTACGTATATGCTAACGTATTTTATTTTATTTATTTTGCAGCTAATATAAAAGGGATTGAGTTCCGATTTGATTGCTTAAAACTAGGAAATGAACATTCACATAATACAATTAACTAATCTATGATCTTATTTGAATTTTACCAGGTTTTTTTTTTTTTTTTGCAGTTTTTGGCTGGGGCTGGGTTTGAACCTGCCACCTCTGGTATATGGGGCCGGCACCCTACCTCTTGAGCCACAGGCACCACCCCTGAATTTTACCAGTGCCCTTTTTCTGGCTTAGAACCTTGTCTGGGGTACTCCATTGCATTTTATTTGTTTGTTTATTTGTTTTTGAGACAGAGTCTCACTTTATTGCCCTTGGTAGAGTGCCATGGCGTCACAGCTCACAGCAACCTCCAACTCCTGGGCTTAGGCAATTCTTTTGCCTTAGCCTCCTGAGTAGCTGGGACTACAGGCGCCCACCACAGTGCCCAGCTGTTTATTTGTTGCAGTTTGGCCGGGGCTGGTTTGAACCCACCACCCTTGGTATATGGGGCCGGTGCCCTACTCACTGAGCCACAGGTGCCGCCCTCCATTGCATTTTGTTTGCTTCTTTGGTCCCTTCCTGTCTCTTCCTGCCTCTATCTCTCGTGCCCTTGACACTTGCAGAGGACTGATTAGCACCTTCACTGCTTGAGAACTGGAGGCTGCAGTGAGCTGTGGTCCAGTCTGTCACTCCAGTCTGGGCAGTTGAGCAAGAATCTTTTTTAAAAAAACAGTTGGCTCCGCGCCTATAGCTCAACCCGCTAAGGCGCCAGCCACGTACACCTAAGGTGGTGAGTTCGAATCCCCAGCCCGGACCCGCCAAACAACAATGACGGCTGCAACCAAAAAATAGCCGGG